ATTCAGTTAAATTGTTTTCCCCTGCAAATTGAGAGTGATTCGTCATTATTGGTTGATGTAATCCGTAATCGATGCAAAGCTCCATGGGTACTCAATATTGTTGCTGCGAACTGTTGTTATAAGCTTTCAGGTCGTGCTTGGACCATAGCCCATACTTATCGAAAGGTCAATATGGTGGCCGATATTCTTGCTAAGAAAGCTACAACTTTCTCAGATGCCACTGTTTGGCGATCTAGACCGCCAGATTTTCTCTCTATTGCGTTACTTCATGAGGTGACACAACTGCCCTATTCTAGGGTTATAGACTTCTGAGTTGTACTTTATTTTCATTATTAATAAAAATCTGTAGGGGGTCTTCTCCTCCACTGACTTACTAAACAAAATATACTTGGAATAAAATGAGTCAGCTCGGACCCAAGGGGTTCCTATTCCTAAATGACCTGAATCAAGTAATTGCCTTGTGTTTTCCAGAACTGGGGGCTTCCCAAGTCTCATGGTGTTTATTTATTTTTTAAAGATTCACCGAGTGATCTCCAATGTATGGAATTGACGAACTGGGCCACGAAATGATGAAGAACTTGGTTAGGCATTTGATCTTCCTTTTTTCTCTTTAACACCCCCCTCCCCTCCCCTCCCCTCCCCCCCTTAAAACATTGGTATTAAAAAAATAAAATAAAACAATCAATATTAAAAGGGTGTGGTCTGTATAAGGCTGAGGCTCTGAACAATCAAAGTAAGGCGTACCTTCAAATAGTGTCCAAGGATGTTGTTTCAATACTAAAAATCTTTGTGAGGCCCTGAAAATTTATTTTCATATCTAATTATAAAACTTAATGCTTTAAAATTAGTGTAGATCAAATAGATCTATGAACACTTAAAAATCTTAAACAGTCCAAAAATGTATTACAATATGTATTATTTTCAATACTTGAAATCCAGTTTTCTCATGTCTATACATCTTGAGGTCGATATGATCAATTTGAGATTTTGGGGCATCGAAACAACCTTTTCTGGTGAAATTTTTGAGGAGCATTTTAATTTGATTGTTAAGGGCCTCGCACTTATATAACTATTTCCATATTAAAACAGGGGCACTCACTTTCTTCTATAAAGTTACATTGAATAAAAACTATGAATATTCGAAGGAAAACGTTTATATACGTTGAGGCCCTAAACAACCAATTTAAGGTACACTTCAAAATGTGACTAGAAGAGGATGTTTCGATGTTGAAAAACTCTCAAATTGTTCATCTCGACCTGGAGATGTATAGACATGAAAAAATGGATTTCAAATATGGGAAATAATGCATCTTGTAATGTATTATTTGGGTCGTCATTTTTTAGTATTTTAAAGTGTTTATAGATATGCTTGATTTACAGTATTTCTAAAGCTTTAAATTTTATAGTTAGAGACAATGGT